ATCAGCCGATGCAAACTTCAGCACCGGGAGAAGGAGCTACCCTGACTCCTTGCTGGATCAGCTGACTGTTTGGACCCAGCACTGCTGTTATTTCACTAGGGCGCTGGGGGTTTTCAATTTTCACTGGCTGAATTCAAGCAGCTACAGCCGTTGACCGAAGGTCCATGTCCAGAGCTGCTGCCTGCTCTCCTCGGGGTTAAGCAGTTCACAGTGGCGGGAAGCAAGGAGAAGGGAAGGTAGTGTTGCTAACGTTAGCCAGAGCCTCAAATCACACTCAGTCCTACACCTCATTCCACACCGCTACACACCACTGTGCCTGGAGGAGAGGGGGCAGCAGCTCTAGAGACAGACCCCAACTCTGCAGCCACAGCAACCCAAATCCAGCAAACCTTCTGTTGCTGCTCTTACACAGGTTAGACCCAGCATTGTTGCTGGATACCAGCCCACTGTGACACCTGGCGCAGTGGGGTTTGCACTAGCCTAATTGGAGACACTACAGCCATCGACTGAAGCTGCTGCCCACTCTCCTCCTCGTGAAGCAGTTCACAGTGGTGGGGAGCGAGACTGAGGTTACCTAGCCAATTCCTGACACCTTGGCGAGTGTGGGGGAGAATGTGGAGGAGAATGGGCAGCAGCTCCTGAGACAGATCCCCAGTCAGCAGCCACAGCAACACAGAAATCAGCCAACGCAAACCCCAACTGTGGGGAATTGGACAGCCGTGACTTGCCCCTGGATCAGCTATAAGGTTAGACTCGGCATAGTCTCTATAAACAGACTCCACATTCAGTGAATGTAGAGTCTGTAGGCAAACCCCTGAGATCTTGTCTCCGGAAGAAGAGCGGAAGAGCCCTGGTTTCCAGTTGTAGGCTGTTGTAGGCCGCGTGATATTGACCAATCATGTTTGAGCCGGCTGCAGTTGTTGCCAGGTTAAACGGTCCGTGCGGTGAACTAACAAGGCGGAACATAATTGGGGTCACTGCAAACTCTGAATCCATCGCAATGGTTCAGCATATTTACTTAAATATAAACGGAAGTCGGAAATGGGAATTCGCCTCCTCCGCCCAAATCAAACCAGAATGCCAAAAAATCGGGGGTCTGCCCCCAGAGGCTGTATCGCCGCCTGCCGGAAGTCAGACACCAAATACAGCCGATGGGTTCCGAGAATGGACTCGGCACTGCTGCTATGACACCAGGACACTGTGGGGTTTGTGCTGGCCAAATTTGAGCCAGTACAGCTGCTGACCGAAGGTTTGTCTCCTGAGCTACTGCCTGCTCTCCTCGCAGTAAAGCATTCCACAGCGGTAAGAAGCAAGGGTAACGTTAGCTAGAGCCTCAAATCACAGTATGTCCTCCGCCTCTCTTCCCATGTCTCTACAAACCACTTCAAAAGGACAAAAGCAGGCAGCAGCTTGGGAGACAGTCAGCAAACTTTCTGTTGCTGCCCTTACAGAGGACAGACCCAGCACTGCTGCTGGCCATCAGCCTGTTGTGACACTCGGCACTAGGGGGTTTCACTGGCTGAATGGAGCCGCTACAGCCACCAACTAAAGCTGCTGCCCACTCCCATCCTCCCGAAGCAGTTCACAGTGGAGTGGAGCGGGGCTAAGGGACCACGTAGTGGTTGGCTAGCCAATTCCTGACACCTTGGTGAGACCTCTGTTAAAAAACAAAAGTGGGAAATTTAAAACAAAAGTTTAGGACATTTCCAGCCATATTTGTAGTGAACAAACCAGGTATTCTAAGCAAAAAGATGTTTTCCTAACCCATACCAGGTGTTGTCACGTTAAATTGAGTTTCAACATATCCCAAAATGGCTTAAAGTCAAATGTTACCTGTACATTTCTTCTACATGAACTGTTTAATAAAAACAGACACCCATAATAAATCACACAGCAGCAGGTCCTGAATAAATCTTTGATGTCGTGTCAAGATTTTCTTTTATTTTGACAGCGTTTCAGAATATCATACAGGTAAACAAGATTTTTGCAAAAGTTAATATATCCATAGTGTTGCATTTCATAAAAATAGTTGCTCCACTTACAGTCTTTGTGACCATCAATAGTACACGGAGTCATATTTATAGAGATATTTGTTCAGGGTCTATACACTGCTATAACACTACACAGTGATACTGAGCCGCTTGGGTGGAGCGTGTGCTGTCATGTCAACACGCATATATATATTTTTTTTACACCATTAGATGTCTTTTTTTTGTTCTTTTTACTTTCCGTAGCAAAGTACTTACAATTTTGCTCGATGGAGACAGCTCAGATGTGGAAAGCAGTGAGTTGTGCAAACGTTGAGCAAAAATATGCACTTTTTTTTTTTTTGTCTCTGCTTCGAACATAAGATAAAGAAGCAGTGCGGTCAGATGATGCACAATGAGACAGTATGTAGGTTTGCAACCTTTCGTCTGACAGATGTAAAATTTAGTTTCGGCCCCCCTGCACACCGTCTACAAGTGCCTGAAGGTCTGAGCCGTTTGTGCATGGCTGATGATTTCCTCCGACGTGATAATTCCCAAACCCTCTGTGAGAGATTGTGCTTTAAAGTCAGTCCGCTTATGCCTGGTGTAATTACGGATCACAATGGCAAACATAATGACTTGTCTTCCTTTGCTCTTTTATTCTTTAAACACTGTTTGCACTTCCCTCAGCAGAGGAAGCAGAGGAAACTTTTGTTCTGGTATTATGACTCCTTTTTTTTCCGCCCTTAATGTCGGCTCATTCAGAGGAAAAAAAAAACATTGCCACTCAGAGTTTTGAGATCTGCAGGGAAGGTATGGACGCTGTGAAAAGATTTGTTGATCTCAAAATTGACAGTTTGCGTAAAACCCTGCCCCGAACATCAAATGCTCAGTCACAGCTTAGCAGCTGTAACTAGGCACTGCACAACCTGTCAAGCTTTGGACACGGTGTGCACGAGGCTGCAGTCTGAGCAATACTCACCACTCAGAGAGTTTGAATTGGAGGTGTTTCTTTTTAGCCTTTAAAAAAAAAAACAAAATCAGAAGGAGCTAATGTGGAATAAATGGATGAATCTAGTGGTTCCCAACCTTTTTCCTTATGGGACCCCATGTCTGAGTAAACTGACGACCCCTGACTACTTGTTACCTGGAGAGGTTGGAAAAAGATATACGTTTCTTCCCTGTTCCAAAACCAAAATCAAACCCTGAAAAGTGTAGGGTTAGCTAGCTAGCTACTGAAGATATAGCCTACTGAATGTATACACATGCTGCTTTTGCTTTATAATGATTATAAAAAGACCGACCCTGCTGTACAGGAACCAGTGAAGGGAAGCAGGGAAACTTTGCTGATATTCAACCAGCTCTGTGTCATCACATTGTGTGCAGATGAATGTTGGTTTTGTTTATTTTAATAATCATACATACTTCATAGGCCTCTTTTTGACAAATTCAGTGTTTTGCTAATGCAGGACGAGGCTGTTTAGCAGAGTAATGGGGAGGTTGATGTTTCACATGCAGCTCAAATGGTAAGAATCCATTCGGCCACTGTGGAGATATCAATGTCTGAGGTCAAGAAAACTGTCTCACCCACAAATTCAAGGACATATGTTTCAAAGAATATTTACCATCAGCTGGATATAAGCTGTAGGTGGGTGATTTCAACAAACTGACCCAGAGGAACACACTGAATATTTGACCATGGGCAAAAACATTGCAGAGACATAAAACCCTTTGAAACATCTCCTTGAAGGGTAACTTCCGTATTTTCAGTCTAGACCTTATTTTCCCATGTTTTGTGTTTACGTGGCTAATGAAAACAATATTGGAAAGTGGTAGTTTCGTTGAAGAGACTGCCGCAGCTGGCCACAGGAAACAGGCTGCATGTAACCACTCGCATCTTCAATTTAGGTTTGTGCCGTCAATTTATGTCCACTACAAGTGTTTGTTTTTGCCACCGACAGGCTCAGATTAGGAGAGGATCCTTGCTGTTTGACCAGAAAGAGCCCCAAAATCACCATCTCCAAACCCACCAGACTCCATTTAAATAAAGAGTTATTTTAGCATGTATAGATCCAGCATATTTTCACATTCAACTGAGTGAATTAAGAGTTAATTTAAACCCAATCAGAGTTGGTGATTGTTGGAACAGTGGAGAGACAAACCAAGATGACTTTTGTGAGCTGTATTTTTTTTCTTTTGACTTTGAATGAAGTGTGTTTTCCAATGATAAAATTGGAAAATGGGAAAAATAAAATTACTGTTTTTTTAAATGGAGTCTGGTGGCTTTTGGGTTGGCAATTTTTTCCTTTAACAAAAGGATCTATCTCTGTAGGGATCCTTTCCATAATGACACTTATAATCACAATCTGAGCCTGTCAGTGGCAAAACAAACACTTCTAGTGGACATAAACTGATGGTGCACAAATGCCCCACATGGTTACATTGCAGCCTGTTTCGCTACTGCTGGCTGCAGCCCTCTTGCTCAATACTGGACCAATTTATAAATACTGTTGTTCATATTAATCACTTTTAGACATATTAGAATCAAAAAATAGGAAAATAGGATCCAGGTTGAAAAATACCTAAGTTACCCTTTAATGTGTCACATTAACCCTTTGAAACCTGGAGTGACATCACTTTTCCTGTGCTGCTTTCAGACACCTTTCACAAGTATTTAAACCTTTGAACCCTGAGAAAATTGGTGCGATTTATTTCTGAAACATGGGTAACATGAAATGTCCGACAAATTGCAAAAAAATTAAATAAACAAATAAAAATTTAGAAAGTTATTTTAAAAATGAGGGAAAAAAGAAAAAGCTAGGGAAAAACGATATTTATAATATCAATTATTATCATACATTTTTACATTTTATTATTATTATACATTACATATCAAAATTATGTTACAGAGTTATTATAATTTTAAAGTACTTTTCCGGGTCATTTCTTTGTTTGTTTGTCTTTAACTTTCTTTCTGTCTTTTATTTCTAATTTTCTTGTTTTTAATTTTCTCTTTTTACTAATTTCTTGCTATTTTTTTTTTTTGCTCATTTCTTCTTCCATATGCTCATTGCCTTCTTCCCATGTTTTTAAAAGAAATCAAGCCAAGTTTCAAAGGGTTAAGAGGATATTAATCTGGGGGAACACAGAACCCTGGGAACATAAATACGCTCCCCATTAAAAAGTCAGCCACAGACACAGTTTTCAGTCGAGTCATGGAGCTAGATATTGGCTTTGTTAGCTGGTTAGCAACAGCTGATACACTGCTAGTGACAGCACTGAGAAGAAATGAGAGGCTGCTTGTGTTTCCTTCTGGCGGAAACAAAGGACCCACTGTTTCAAGCTGTAAAATAAATCTGCCGTGTTATCACTGTAAATTGAAAGCATGACAAGCATAGCAACAGTAACTAAGGAGGGCAGGGCTTAGCAAACTGTCAGGTTGTAAAACGCACACTTTTACATTTATGCTGCAGCACATAGCTTCCAAATAGAGTCCGACTCTGGGGCAGGTGAGTGTATGCTGGAACTGCATCTACCCTACAGGGAGCTTTGGCATGGACACGTACTTGTTAATATCACACAGTGTCGACAGAATCACCTAAAACAAATCAAAGTCAGCCGCTGACAGTAGCTGTGACAGGTGCAACCTCTTCTCAGCCCGTCTGGAAATGACAGAAACCTTTCATTTTCAAACGGAGGGCGTTCGTTCATTCAGGTCACAGATTGTTAGGCGAGCGAGCTTTTGACAGGCAAGATTGATTCTTTGACGACTCAATATCAGATCTTAGTAGTTTGGTTTGCAAAGCTCTGCTCAGTGCTGACATTTAAAAAAAACACCATCTCAGAGGATAAATTCTTCATGGAGATTACTGGTGTCAGACCTCATTACGAAATGAAAACTATCATGACCCAAAATGAACCACTTGCACAAATAAAGATCGTAGACCTCTGGTTATTTTCATACGTAAGCCTGTGAAATAAATGATATATTTCACCGTATCACACTCGTATCTGAAAAAATACAGTTTATTATTTATATCTGTAAAGTTGATGTTGTATAGCAGCCTGTTTTGAACCCTCTCAAGTGGTTTGGAGTTGAACCTTTGACTTAAAAGCCAACCTCTCTGTCAGTCTAAGGCACTCTGCCCCTCGGTCGGTATCACATGAGCTCCTTCTCTCAGCGTCCGGCTGGACACCGCCGTCGCAGATTGCTTTGTTCGTTTAGCACAAGAAATGAGAAAAATGGATTGACACGACACCCCCGCAAGCGCAAACAGATCGTGAAGTCAAGCACAGCGGGTCTGCCGAGACCCCCAAGCTGCGGTCACAGGGCTGAACGGGAGTGTAGAGGAGGGAGAAGTCATCACGGTGAAAGCTCTGGTCCATGTCATGCCGTTTAGGACTTCCAACCAGCTCAGCGAAGGTTCTGTCCACTTAAAGATGATCTTATTTACAAAATGATCCCACATATTCATATTCATTATAATATATCTATGTCTATAATCATCTGATAGATTATTCAAGATAGATTCAGGCCCACTCAGTCTCCGTTAAGGCAAAGTTCTGTCGATGAGTAGATTTCATCTCCGCTGTCGCTCTTTTGTTCCATTCGCTCTCGTCAAAAACAGGCAAACTTTCTTCTGAACATTCCGTTTCATAAAACAGACTCCACTGTGAAGGTAAAAAAGAAATCCACCGACAGCTGCTTCCTGTCAGTTGTTTATATTTGCATGTTTGTCCCCCAGTTCTGCTCGGGGAGAATAAAGTTTGCACCCCCTATTTGATTCCCCGCCACGCTACACACACATTCTACTTCCATTATTTATTTTTTAAGTGGATGATTTTCCAGTTCTTAAGGTGGTGGGTGTAAAATATTTCTCAAAATAATTTAGAGTACAGTATCATAAATAAAACTCTAAAAACACGTGGTCCAGATCACCCTGCCCCCCTGTGGTTTCGTCTGCAGGAGAACGGGATGGAGGGGGGATAAAGGAGCACAGGAAGGCATGAGGATGGCGGGTTTGTTTTCAGATGAGTGTGGCCACTGTGTTCGGCTGGCGCCGCGGTGTTATCTGCTCAGCGTGGACGTGCCTGTGCGCAGTGTGCTGGGCAGCTTGTCCGATCCGGGGATCTTCCAAGGCCCGGGAGAGACCGTGGCCTTCCTCCCTGCTGCGCTGCTGGTGCTCTTGTTGGGCAGGCTGGGCCGGCTCTCTCCCAGGCCCCTGTCCAGTTCCCTGGGCCTGGGCTCTGACTCCACCTGCTGCCCGCCACCGTAACGTTCCACATCGTCCCTGCTGTTCCCGTTGGTGTGCGGGAGCTTGGAGCCACTGGGAGACTCGGTGGATTCTCTGTTCTCCCCTGCATTCCTCTCCTTGGACCTCCCTCTGGTGCTCCTGGAAGGTTTGGGCTCCCCCTCCTTGCCCACTTCCCCCTCAGAAGTGGGCTGAACCCTGTGCCCCTTGTGGGTGGACCTGCCACCCTCCTTCTTGGCTCTGCCGCTCCCACCGGTTGTAGCCGCTCTCCTCCCCTGGCTGATCGGATCTGGGTTTAGCAGCTCGGCCTTCTGGGGGCTTTTCGAACGCTCCGTCCTGCTGTCTCGCGCCGCCAGGTCTCGGGGGACGTCCAGAGGCGGCAGGTGAGGTGGGTCGGGGGCCGGGGCCAGATGAGATGAAGGCGATGACATGGAAAGGCTGTCGATGGGAGGGGCTACTTCCGACAGGCTTGGGGAGGCTGAAGGGCGAGCATCCCATGGGGCGGAATTATCTGGAACATGCACAGTCAATAATGTGAAAATCATGCACACACACACACACACACACACACACACACCCACGCACACACTCTGCTTAAAAGCTTGCACGCATGCCACTGCATAGCCACATCAAAACAAAAAATAATCAACACAGCAATCATTCCTACTCTACAAGCTAAAAGCATTAAAGTAAACATCAGAGCGGCACTACAGCCTACTTCCGAATGTGTCACAGGGCAACACTACTTTTAGACAACATCAATCTGCCTCCCATAGCTCTCTTTAAAGCCCCGGCCAATCTAAAACCTTGGCGGAAAATCGAAAACAGGTTTAATGAAATGGATGATGTGCCCAATAGGGTGGTGCTTTAGCGAGAATGAAAACCTCGGGGGCAGAGTGTCAGTCTCTCTCTCTCCCTCTCTCTCCCTCTCTCTCTCTCTCTCTCTCTTAAGCCCAAAGAAGTCTGTATCCAGTGTAGCAGCTGCAGTGAATCTACAGCGCGCTCCTCCGAAACTCTCCACTCTCACGGACTGTTAGCTTCTGTTTCTGCACCGATGAGTCTCGGTCCCTCGGCCATCAGTCATTTTCAGCGGGCTAGGCAGGGGGCAGGGGCTAGGCTAGCTACACCGGCACCATGAGACCTAATTATAAGCAGACTCCCACGCAGCGCTGGAGCATATTAGATCCAGGACTAAGAGGGAGAGAAAAGAGTACCTGGTCATTTCTAAGTACACTGGGTTTTCAGTCTTTTACCTACAGTGTGCCTGGTACGATGACTTTCTGAAAGAGAACTACGTGTGTGTGTGTGTGTGTGTGTGTGTGTGTGTGTGTGTGTGTGTTGGATTTAAGAAACCTGTGATTATCCCATGCTGTGTTAATGCCTGTTGTCAGCTCTGTTGAAGCGCTGGTCGGCTTACGTTTCTGCTGAGTCGCCATAAAACTAACTACAATATGTAAATTTGTGCTATATGAGAGAAGCATAACAGTAATCACTGAATTTGAGAATTCCACGCCTTAAAAGAAAACTTCAGCCCGGGGCGTCGGTGGATTAGTGGTAGAGCAGGCGCCCCACGTACAAGGCTGTTGCCGCAGCGGCCCAGGTTCGACTCCAGCCTGTGGCCCTTTGCTGCATGTCACTCACTCTCTCTCTCCCCCCTTCACACTTGTCTGTCCTGTCAAATAAAGGCTAAAAATGCCCCCCCAAAAAATATATGTATATATATAAAAAAAGAAAACTTCAGCCCCTCCTAAATAACCATTCGTGTATCAATTACTCACCTCCTGGTAACTTTGTTTTTCTCGCATGCCTCCACGGTGAACGAAGAATCCAAAAAGTTTTATTAATCCAGTCGTATGCTCAGTACTTCACAAACAGACAGCTTTTCCTGACAGTGAACTGAACAAAGAGTGAAACTCATCAATGCTCTCTTTAAAGCCAGACTCCATTGAAAAAAACAACAATTTTGTGTTGCTGAACAAAGGAGCTGCTGATCCGCTGCTGCCTTGAACAGTTGGTTGGTTTGTGTTATTGTGTGACTTTGGTGTTTTCAAGGCTAAGTTTGGATTCACCAAAGTCACACAATAACACAAACAAGCAACCTGTCTGAGGCAGCAATAGACCAGCAGCTTGCTTCTTTTGCAAGGCAAAATTACTGTTTTTGTCAATGGAGTCTGGCTATAAAGAGAAAATAGATCAGTTCAGTTCCCTGTCAGAAAAGGCTGTCTGTTTGGGAAGTACTGAGCATATGATTACTGCACAAGCTATGTGAGAGTTTGTAAATGCTGTTGTTAAATGCAGCCCCCATCACTTAAAGTCATCACGAATGTTCCCCATTTTTGGATTCTTAGTTCACCGTAGAGGCATGCCAGAAAATAAAAGTTTTCTTCACAAATTCAGAGTAACATGGAATGACTAATTAATATACAAATGGCCATTTGGGAAGGTGGAGTATTTCTTCAAAGGAAAATAAATATTGGATTTACATTTAACAGGTGGACAGAATCATGACTCCTTCATGTCTGCTGAACGTGTAAATAGGAAACAGTCTGCTAACACAGTGGTTGCCAACTGGTGGGTCGCAGGTCAAGTGCATGTGTCAAGTTTGTAAAAAACACACTTTATTTTGAAGTACAGTGAATTTCTGGCAAATAGCTTTTATTTTGAAGTGCTGTTTCCTGCTGTAGAATGAGTGAATAACAGACAGCTACTTGACAGAGACAGCAAACTAGCTCAACGACATGGCCAAACACAGGCATGACGCTAAGTGTATTAACCTGTGTGGACCTTGAACTAATGACTAAGGAGAAATCTGGATCCCGTGGCTGGACCAGTTGGGAACCACTACGCTAACATGTTTACCATATCAACTTAATGAGGTGATTATATGTCAGTGTTGTGTTGACAGGTTGCTGGCTGCCCCAAGTGACCAGAAAAATTAATTCACACATGTTTAAGCATCAAAAAGGACTTTAGCTTCTTAAATAAAGTGTAGAAGTACATGTTGAGAACAGTTTGTTCCATGTTCTGTCCTTCTTTTTGAATCCATCAGCTCCCAGGCCCCATGGACCAGCAGCATCAGACTTCAACTCATCAAGAATTTTCTGTTTTTGGATTCTTCGTTCACCGTGGAGGCATGTGAGAAAAGCAAAGCATTCTTCACCATTCAAAGTAACACAGGGTGATACAAATGGTTATTTAAAGGGTGAAATGCTCCTCTAAGCCTGCCACAAGTTATTGTTTTGTCCGCTTGGGTGCAGCGGCAACAAGCTGTGAACACAACACAGACATCGCCTTAGAAGTTAATATGTGAAACTTAAGTTAAACAGTTGTCTAATTACACATCCAGCAGACAGAGAGCAGCATTAGCATTCATTTGGAGTCATGTTTGTGTCCACCTGATGAATGTTAATCCAATATCCACTCTCCTTATTCACTCAATATCCAATATTCACTGACTCCTGAGGGATAAATCTGTCTCTTTAGCTGCTAAATGATCCACCGTGTTCATCAGATAGTCACTAAATCTGTCCGCCTGCTGTTTGGTGCTGTGCAGGTAGAGTACAGTGGGTTTTTAGACTGTTTTAGCTGTAAACAGCTGCCTGCTGGTGCGGAGGCTACGCATTGAGGGCAGAGAGAGTGAAGCTAAACACTACAGCTGCTGGCTGGGAAAACAAAACGATGAGCTGAAACAAGCCAGAGCTGACGGGAACTGTAGAGTTGGGTGATAATTCTCTGTGCGTTTGTGACTTAACCTGGGAGGGAAGGTCTGAAATAAGATGGAAGTTGCTTTATATGAAGTGTACGATCCAGTGTCTTTGGTGATTGAGCCACATCGACTACAAGGGCTAAAAAAGTCAGGACAGGAGTGAAAACTTGGCCTCTGCAGCATCACTTTGGACCCATTTCTGCCTGCAACTGAAATTTTTAATTTCCTTTGGATGAAGTGTTCTTTGGGCTTGTCTAAGCAGAAATCTTAGGGTGCTTTCAGACCTAGAGTTGTCTTGCTGTGGTCCGAATCACGGGCTAATTTTGTTACAAAGTTGTATAACTGCCTAGAGTTGGCACGTCTGAGATAGGCAGCTTGCCCACCACATGCTAATGAGTGCTCATCTCATTTCTGATCTAGGCGTTCAGGAGATTTTTACCAGGAGCCAAATTGCCCACAGAGATCTATTTTGCTTCAAAACAATTGGAGGAGTGACTTAAGCCGGACATCACATGGAATAAAGCAGTCTCACATTACAAATCAGTGTTTCTTTGACGGTGTGCACGTCCGAGACGGCCACCTTGCACAGCACCTGCTAATGTGTGTTCTCCTTTTTTCTCTGATAACTTTAGATCCAGATGTTCAGGAGGTTTTTACGGTTAGCTGAATTATCCACAGAGGTCTCTTCCTCTCCAAAACACCCGGACTCAGTGATTTAAACCGGTAAAAACACTGAATAAGACAGTTTCTTACTATTATTATTAACGACTAATTCTAAGGTAACAAAAACACAATTCTTTTTGGTAACACTTTACTTGAAGGTATCTACATAAGAGTGACATGACACTGTCATAACTATGACATGACACGGTCATGAACCTGTCATGTACATTATGTACATGTCATAAACGTTTATGACTGCTGTCATTAAGTGTCAATCGGTTTTTGTAATGACAAGTTGACATTGTTTGGGTTGATTATGACAACTTGACATTAATCAAAGTGACGTTACCAGAAGATGTCTTTGTCATGACAAGTTGACATGACATTTGTTTGGGATGTCCTTATAATGACAACTTGACATTAACCAGGATGACATTACCAGAGGATGTCTTTGTCATAACAATAATAATCATTATGTCAACCTGTCATAAACACAAAAAGAGGTGCATTTGACATAATGATTATTTTCGTGACAATGTCATGTCATAGTTATGACAGTGTCATGTCACCCTTATGTAGATACCTTCAAATAAAGTGTTAGCTTCTTTTTTTAGATTGATTATAAAGTAAAGAAAACATACTTATTATATTCCATTTTTGCCAATATAACCCCCTAAATCCTGAACACTACACCTTAAATCTGTCTCTTACAACCCTCCCAGCTTTATGAATACAATACTACATTGACAAAGTGCGCTTTAATTTTCAGCTGCAGATATTCAAGATTTCTTGATTTAAATTAAAACCATAAAAATCAAACAGAGTTTTACAGAATAATATTACACAGAAAATGAAGAATGAAGAATGAGGCTTAATCCCAATGTGTGACTGGCTTCTCCTCTGAGCATACATCTGATTAATTATGGGATGACATCCTTTAGTTTGATGTAGCGTCACTTTAATACAAGGAGCAAAGCATTTCTGCTATTAAGATGTTGTCAGAGCATTCTTAATTTCCTAAGTTAATTCTCAGGCCTTTGATAAACATGTGCCCTGGAGGTGCAGATCTAACGTGAGACAGAAGCACAAAAACACACACAAGCAGCCACACAATAATATTCATGCACATGCCCACGTCTTTATGCCAGCATCACACACACATAGTCTTAAATTTTTGTTCTTCATTTTGCATTCAGCTGTTCCTAAAAAGCACACGAGGAACCTGAAACAAAAATAACTCCCTCCTTTGAACATTAGTATGCTAATGTTTTAAATAGCCAAATTAATCACCATAGATGATTTGCATAACCTTCCAGTATGCAAATAAAGTGCCTGTAAACTACGAGTGATGAAATGCTGAATCAAGCCCACACAGAACAGAACATGTGGGTTGAAAAGCTGCTTCTACTTTCAAGCAGCATGGCGACTCCGATAGAAGGGAGCACAACAGATCGCTAATGATGGAGGACTGTGTCTTCTGCCTGACCACAGCGAGACTCCCTGTGTGCATATTTCAAGGCTGGAGAAGCATCTCAAGGCAAGTGTAACAAAAGCTCTCCACACAAAGAGATTAAATCCCTGGCTGGAACAGAGGGCTGCCAGCAAAGGGCCAACACAGGGAAACCCTCTATTTCCTGTGTTTAAGGGCTGGAGGGTGACCCCTGAGGCCACGCGCTGATGAATGTGTATCACTGGGTGCTGCGGCGTTCCCTTAAAACGTCTTTCTCTCTAGTGGGAGGATGCTGAAAAGTGAGCACCGTGCCAGTGGTGCAGAGGCCGCAAGAGTGAGTGACGCATCTGAGTTTTATTACCCGATGTGTCAAAAAAATAAATTTCCCTTTCCAGGCTCAGTTCGAGCTGCGACAAGGTTCCACTGGGTAAATAATCTACCGAAATATTTCATGTTCATCTCCTCTGGCTGACCCAGGGTGAACGCTCCTATTGCTATATTTTTGGACCTGTGGTTAGCTGCTGATTTATCTGCTGGTCAGGAAGAGTTACGTTCTCTAATCTTACGACCTCCTGCAGCTTGAAGCCATATTTGTTGTTTATTCCTTAAAGGGACAGTCTGGATTTTTAGATCAGGTTATATGAGGTACCTATCCACTTTGAGTGTGCTACATACAGTAGATGGTGGCGTCCCCTGTTTGGAGAAGCAGACAGGAGTACTGACACTGAGGCTAAGCAGTGTACTGCCATGGATGGGGGCAGCAGCAAAACATATTTTAGCCAACTAAAGAAATCATTATCAGCTTAAGTGTGTAAAGCTATATTTACAGGGTTACTACATCTTAAAGGAAGTTAGATTTAAGAGTTTTTAAGACTTTTTAAACGCCACTTGGAACGAAATTTAGGACCAATTTTATATGAGACAAGGGTGTTTCTCACTCAGCATGTGGGATTTTACCACCTCGATCTTCACTGTGAGTTTGACAAACTTTCTTCAAGCCTGCTACATGGTGCCAGGGACTGGGAAACGCACGCTGACTTGGGCCAGCATCTCATAGTTTCACCCGAGATAGCTGCAACCAGCTTATGATCAGACCTGGTCCTCCGGTTGAAGAAGTGATGTCAGAGTGCTTTCCACATAGAACTGGCCTTTTGGGAGGATGTAATGGAGGAGGTGTTTGAACGCGAGCAATTGTGCTACGTTGACCTCGTAGCGCGACTAGAGGCTAGAAACCTGGGGTGCAACTGATCGAGTTGGGCTGCAGAGGCTTCGTCGCTAGATCCACCACTAGACTCCTCAAAGGAATTGGGATTAATGGGCAAGCCCAGAGGAAAGTGGTCAAGGATCTGGCCAATACAACTGCAAGGTGAAGTCAAGAGAAAGGATCCCGTCTGGGCCCCTAGGTGACCACAGAGGAGCCAACCTTCTGACACACCCTAGTCTCGCCACCAGACAATCAGAGATCTCCGCCTTCTGATAGTCTGGGAACACTCCTTTCTAAAGTGTGTTTAACACACGGGGAAAATGGCCAGCAACAAAGCAACGCCTCTTGCATTTTTGAAAAGGACACGCCTTCTCGGAAATGTGCGCTCCCCCTTTTCTCGTCCGCAAGGAGACAAACACACAGAGAGCTTGAAAATGGATGCTGAGAGATTTAACTCCGTTTTATCAAACGTGTGCTCATCCGTGAAGAAAATATTTTTTCCAGCGGATGTCTTAGTTACAACATGATTGAGCTAACTGGAGTAGTTTCATGTCGTATCCAACAACGGGAGGCTTTTAACAGATGACATCCTGATGTTAGCTTTGCTGCTGTTAGCTGTCCCTGTCAGCTGCAGCCACTGATGCTTTCTAGACATCGTGATTTCCCAAAACTGAATAAATACCACACATAGCAACACAAAACTGCTTTGCTAGCTCAACCATGTTGTAACTAAGATATCCGCTGGAAAAAATATTTTTTTCACGGAC